CAGAGAGGCTGGTGTGGTTTGACCAGTTGACTTTGGTGGCCGCTAGAGGGGAAATCGCACCTTCCCAGCACCAGTACGTGGGGGGACATTATTCCCTGTAAACCTGGCCGTAGCTCCCCCTTTCCGGTTTTACGAGGAGGACACAGGCTCGGGAGCGTGAATGGCTTGCCAAAGGGCACATGGCGTGAACCAGGGCTGACGAAGAGCCAGGCGGCCTGGCCGTACCCCGGGCTCCCCCAGCTGCCTCCCTCCACGGGGCTGGCAGGTGGTCGGTCCTGGGAATGGGAGGGACGGAGGTCTTCACTGCACACTCCACCCGGTTTTCCAGTTTTCCAGGCCCAGGGAGGCTGTGCCCGGAGCAGCGGTTGCCCCCGCTCTCCGGAGCCAAAGCCGGAAAGCCGGACGCTGCCAAGTAGGAAACCAGTGTGTGAAGCCCGGAGCCAGAGCCTCTCCAGATGAACCTTGTCTCTCATTCTGGAGGAAGGGCCACGCCCCCTCTGAGCGCGTAGACCCTCGGTCGTGCCTCCCTCCTCCCCCCGGGGCCCACTTGACCTTGGCAAGGCCGCCAGGCAGGTCAGGGCAGCGCTGGGAGCGGGGTGGGGCGGGGGGACGGCCAGGCAGGGGCATTCGGGGTAAGGTCGGGAAGAGGGCTGCCTGCACCCCTCCCTTCCCGCCCCTGTGGGCATGGCCACAGGGGCATGGCCGTGGCTCTGGTGGGCGGGAGGGGCCCCGGGGAGGTTACCCAGGAGAGGCCGCTGTGGGACCTCTACCCCCAGAGAACTAGGGCCGAAGGAGGTTTCCGGACTTAGAGAAACCAACCGTGTTACCTGGACCGGCTGCAGGGCCGGGCGCAGAGTAGGATCTTGGTAGCTGTCTGTTGAATGAACGAATGTCTCCCAGCCCTATTTGACACCAAGGCCCGAGACCTCTTTTTCCTCCCAATTAGCGGCTTAATTGCAACACGAAGACCCCCGGCCCAGAAAAGACCCCAGGGCGCGGTCCCGTGTGGAAGCCGAGGCTCGGTAAGGTGGGGCCCAGCCCGGCAGGCGGCGGCTCCAGGCCGGGAGAAGCGCGTGCGGTGGGGACCTGGCTCAGCTGAGGCGTCCCCTGGAGACCAGCGCCTCTCCACCTCCTTCCCCTCCCCCCTGCTCAGGAAGGGGAGGCGCGGGGGGGGGGGGGGGGGGCATCAATCCCCCCAGGTGGGGGGGCGTGGCCGGCTCGGGAGCCCAGCGCAGGGCGGGGCCGCGGGCCAGGTCGGCCACCGAGCGCCTCGTCAGCTGGGGGCCCCGCGTGTCCCTGAGCGGTTCCCAGGTCTGTGACCCCTGGGCCGGAGCGTCAGGCGGCCTCGCGGGGAGCCACGGCGCTGGCTGGCAGCCTGCGGTTCACAGGAGGATGCGGGGGCATGTTTGACGTTTGTGCCCAGCAGGAGTTGGGGGCCCTGGCCCAGAGGACCTGGAGTCAATCCCGGAAGGGGGCCAGGACTTGCTCAAGGCCCTCGGTGACCCCAGGAGGCCGTGGGGTGGAGCCTGGGATTTAGGGCCTGGGGGCCAGGGCTCCTCAATGTCGCTTCCTCAGCGGGGGGAGAGGCACAGAAAGCTGTCCCCAGGCTGGGCCGGTGGCCTCTCCCACCGGCCTCAGGCTCCCCGACCAGGCCAGGCCCTGGCTGCATCAGGTTCCCGTGGGGTCTGAGGAGGGGCTGGGGCAGGGGAGGAGTGGCGGCCACAGCGGTGGGAAGGCGGGTCCCAGACCCCGGAATGGGGAGCCTGCAGCGGCGGGCATGGGACCAGCCTGGATGGCTGGAAGGGCCTGGACTCAGGTCAAGCTCTGGCTGAGGCGGGGTCAGAGCAGGAGCCGGGAGGGAGGGGACTTGACTGGCCCAGGACGCAGGGGGGTGTGGGGACAGACAGAAGTGTGCAGAGACACAGCAGAGCAGGAGGCGGCGGGCCAGGTGAGAAGGCGGCTTTACCCCGTCACCAGCCTCCTGGCCCTCCACACGCCCCCAACCTAACTCTCTCACCGAACCCCCTCCGGTCTGGAAGCTGAGGGCTGTCGTCCCCATCGGTGACTGCACCCGGGGCCTGCTGGGTGGCCCGGCAGAGCAGGGGACCTCTTTCACCTCCCCAGCCCCAAAAGGCTCCCCGGGCTGTGACACAAGGTGGCCGGCCCAGCGTCTGAGCTGCAACAGGCCACGTGGCTGCCCCTTCACCCCTTCACCCCAGGCTCTGCTCCTACGGGACCCCTGGTCTGGCTGTGGCCCCGCCCCCTGGCCCAGACACCAATGGGAGTGGTTCCCTGTCTTCCGGCAGGGCAGGGGACAGTGCGACCTCGCCCTGAGGGGAGCGCCTCGGAGGCCTTTGGTCACCCCCCCATGGATGGAGCAGGGGGAAGGAAGGGGGGCCTGCGGATGTGAGGCACCAGCGGGGGTGCGGCAGCCCCCTGGATACCCACCCCGGAACCGTGGCTCCAGGAGTGTGTCCTTGCCACACGGCTGCTGCGCTGTGTCATCCCAACGCCTCGGGATATGCTATTATGGTCGCCACTTCCAGGGAGTTCGAGCCTCGGCTCCACCTTTCAGCAGGTGGGAGGCCTTAGGCAAGTGCCTTAGTTCTGTCGCCTGCCAAACAGGGCGAACGCACCCACCTCACAGGGTTCAGTCAACACCACAGTTAACTGGGAAGAATGCCCGCCAACTGCAGACACCATCCCAGTGTGAGGCACTGGCGTCACTGCCAGTCACCGCTGGGTGTGTGTGGGGGGGGGGACAGCCATCCCTTACCACTCTCCCCCGGCACCGGTGACGCAAGGCTGGCGGCGGCTGTGACGCGGCAGCTCCTTTCCCGGCCTCTGTGATGCCAGCCGTCCGCCGGCTGCCTGCAAGAGAGACCGGGGGCTGCGCCCTCCTTTCCGTTCCTGGACGGCTGTGCAGACACACGCCGCTTACCCGCGGCCTGGAGCCTGCCACGCATGGTGTCTGCGGCGACGGGAGCAGCAGCATCAGTCGCAAGAGCAGCAGCCGAACGCTTAGTGTACTTTGAGAGAGGGCTCCGTGTCCCTCGGTATTTGAGAAGCACTTAGCCGTGATGTCACGATGCCCAGGGACCGAGCCCAAGCTCCAGGTGGCTACGTGCAGAGCAGCGGTCCGGCCCAGCAGCCGGTGTGGGCACCGCGAAGCAAGTGTGCGGGCCACAGGGCACACCTCCCGGGGCCATCGTGCACCTGCACAGGGGACCTCCCCGCTGCCCTAACACCCTCCGGTCCTGCCTCGGCCACTTCTGGGAAGTAGGCTCTCGGCGCCCCCCCACACCCATGGGCACTGTGCTCTACCCTGAGGACTCAGGTCCCACCCAGGCAGCGATCAAAGTAGACAAGACCCTGAGAGCGCCTAGTGGGTGCAGCTGGCAAAGCAAGGACTCTTCTTCAGCTCAGGTCACCATCTCATGGGTTGTGAGTTCAAGCCCCGCACTGGGCTTCACGCTAACGGTGGCGTGGCGCCTGCTTGGGATTCTCTCTCCCTCTCTATGCCCTTCCTCCTGCTCACTGTCTCAGTCTCTCTCAAAATAAATTTAAAAAAAAAAAAAAAATAGTAGATCCCGGACATGCCCTGAATCCGGACCAGTGAGACGGCTTACTAGGCAGGGGACGCTGTTCTCAGCATCTGACTTGCATTAATTTACCGATGTCACAGAGCCAGCAATCAGATCTAGGGTTCCACATTAAGAGGGCCTGTATCCAGAGGTCATTTCAAATAATGGGTGGGGGTGTGTGTGAATAGGGGCCTTGTAACAATTGGGGAGTTGGGGCAGCCATCCAGGTAACTGGTAAAAAATGAGGCTGAATCCTTAAGCTTTGCTCCTTATATATAATACACACGATTCAAGGATCACCTGTACGGGGGCGTCTGGCTGGGCCAGTCAGTAGAGCCACGGCGACTCTTGATCTCTGTCCAGGTCATGAGTTCAAGCCCCACACTGCACGTAGAGCTTACTTAAGGGGGAAAAAAAATCGACTCTACATAAAGAATATGGGTTCTAGAAAAACATAGAAGCATATTTTTATACTCTTGTAAGGTGAAGAAAGCATTTAAAAAACATGCCTACACATCCCAGAAACCATAAAAAAAAAAATGGGTGACAAAAAACGTGGATGCTTCTCCTCTGCCCCAGATGAAGGACAAATGCCAGCCTGGAAAAGCACTGGCCTCAAATAACCAGCGCTGAGTGTCCGCCGGCAGGTGGGGAGAAAAGGGACAGGCAAGCAACGGGCCGGGGACATGGCGACAGGCGCGGGTGCTCCACAGGCCGGGGGCCCCTTTCAGGACACGCGGGTCTGAAGGCGTCCACAGAAGTGCCATTCACAACACAGAAGACACGGTCAAAGGACCGTTGTAAGTGCCGAGCACTGAGGAGCCCACGGCAGCCGAGCACGGGGTAACACAGCTAGAAGCTGGATCTACGGCTCCCGCCACGAAAGGACATCTGAGTAAACACCTATTTCCCAAGTTACAGAGCGGGTGGAGGGCCGCCCTTTCCTGTAAACTTCTCTCTCTACATATATATGTTCCCATCTACACTCTGCCGTCCAGAAAAGTGCTGTGCACGAATGTGAGCGGCTCCCACCTCACGGCGAAGGAAGTACGGACGGCTTTTCCCTCATACTTTAAAAAATATCCTGATTTCTTTTTCTACAAGGACCACGTTCGTGTATGCCCCCCCCCCCCCCCCCCCCCCCCCCCCATGGAACAAAAAGACGAAGTTTTGTCTGCAGCTACGGACAGAAACCTGTGTTCTGTGCCAGAGACAGGCAGTGGCTGGGGCGGGGTGTCAGCGGGCAGATACGGCGGAGCGGCGCCGCCGACACCCCGAAACGCCCGCGGGAGGGCTGAGCCCCCTGCATCTGAACCATGTGACCGGGACACCTGCCATGTCCCTCCGCGCTCGGTGAAGACGAGGCCAGGGCTCGTCACCCGAGAACCTTTGCTGCGATCAAGGAAGACAACCAGCTGCTTTTCAAACTTTTTATTTGGTGTTAACTCCACAAGAAAACAAGAAATCAGTTACTCTGGCGGACGTGAGATCGGAACAACATGACCACGGGGACACACCCCGAGCCCAGGGGTGGAGAACGGGGACGTCGGTGCTCCGGGTGCGCAACGCGCCTCACGCCACAGTGCGTTTCAGCGTTTTGCCAACTTTTTAATAAAAGATGCTTTTCTTTGTGATCATCCATTCACAAAACTAAAAACCACACGCTCGACTCGGCTGCTGAAAGCCCCCGGCCTCCAGCCACTGAGCTACGAAAACACATAAATACATCACCCGTGAGTCCCCTGCCCGTTGAGAACCCATCCCCACCCCCACCCCCCGTGGAAGGTACAGGGCCTTCCCGCCGCCGGTGCGCAGGGAAGTCAGCACCGGCGTCACCCACAGCCCTGTCTTGATACAAAGCAGCTGTCCAAAATCAACTGAGCTAAAGGTTGTGTCTGAAATAGATTTATTTGGTCTCTGCTACATCGAGCAACGATTTCTAAACTGATCGTCACCGTAGTGATTTTAGGAATTTACAACTTCCAATTTTTTTTTTTTTTTTTTTTTTTGCCTTTGCTGTTAAATTGTATTTCAGTGCAGATGCTAATCACGTTTTAGGAAGCTCCGGAAGAAAGAAAAATACATAAAACCTTATAAAGTCTGTAAAATAAATAACAGCAACGTAAACCTTGCACACGCGCGCGCACACGCACACACACACGCACACGCACCCACTTTAAAGTGTCAAAAGATGTGCTGTATAAAAACGAACCCTGCCGCATGGGGGCATCCGAGCTGAGCGTCCGTCAGGCACGTCAGAGCGAGGACACACCCCACTGGGGTCGCCCGTGCCACCTGGGGCGAGAACGGCAACACCACCCAGGGCCCGAGCGCCTCGTGGGTGTCGGCCACGTGGCCCCGGCCGGTCCCGCGCTGCCTGCCGGGAGCAGCGGTGAAGCGCTCTCGCCCCCGTCGCGCTTTTCTGCCCTTCCTGACATCACGGACGAGCTAAACCGAGCCTACAGAATCGGGGGTTTTGTTTTGTTGTTTGTTTTTGAATAATGAGTTCATTAGAAAGAAAAACAACGTGGTTTCCCAAACCTCGCCCCCCCCCCCCCCAGCTTCACCTGCCGCCCAGGGGGCGGCCGTCGTGAGCAGATGGGACTGTACGAGATGGACTGACCCCCAGGGTCCCCGCCAGAGCGGAAGGCGAGTCCCATGAAGCAATCGCACAGGTGGGGGGAACGGTTCCTCTCCCCGCCCCCCACCCACCAACACAACTTGCCCAGAACATTCTCTCAAACACAAAATGAGATCTAAGCTCTACTAAATCGCAGCCACCACAGGAGCTAGCTGCAGCAGCCGAGGTTTCTTCGGGGTGCCGAGGCGGCCCTTACTGCACGTCAAGCACTTGCCATTTCGAGTTCTGGAGGCTTCGATTCAACGGAGGTCACCAGAAGACCGTAATTTGCAACTAAGATCCAAACCACAAATAACCCAGAAGGGGTGTTTTGGCAGAAATGTAACTGCAACGTAAGAACAGGCTGGGGGTACGCTCTTCCCCCACTTGGCCTCAAACGCTACGCCCACACCCCAAGGCCTTGGCTCCTTCAGTTAGCAAGAAAATCACACATCACAGTATCTTCCATGATCCTCGAGGGGGGGAGGGGAAGTCCTAAGATAGAAAACACAGTCTTGAGTAAGTGTCTAAAAGCACACCCTCCTCGCAGCTCCTACTCCAGTGTACATGAGATCTGACTGAACGAACACCGTGGATGAGTCACCCATGCTCCCCTCCGGCCTTCGGAAAGGCCCCGATCCGTCGCAGGGGAAGGTACTTATGTCCCAGTTCTTAGAGAACAAAGCCTAGAGGTCCCAAAGCTCAGGTCTCTGGAGCGTGGAAGTGGCTGCGGCCGCCGCGGCGCTAGGGTACCAGGGACGGGGCCGCAGCCAGGAGGATGGGAGCTGCAGAAGCGTGGAAAGCAGTGAAACTTCCAGACAAGCACATGCACACCCATTCTTGATTCGACAACACAATCTAGTCTATTTCAAATGGCCAAGAATTTAACAGCTTGGAAAAAAAAAAAATCTTCAACAGGATAGCTGTCCTCAACTCTAAAATAAGCAAGAAGAGAAAGATAATTGCTGATCTGAATCAGTTAATTGAAGCAGAACCCTAAGTTGTTGTTTAGATTAACAGGCCTCACAAAAGGGTAATTTGCCATCACAGATCGTTTTCAAAAATTAATTTGCACTACGCTGCAGGTTTAGAGATGAGTTCGAGAAAAGAGCTCCTCTTCGCCAGGGCCCGCCCACTCGCCCCCGCCGTCCAAGCTGGAGCCTTCGGAGCCGGAGCCGTCGGAGCCGGAGCCGGCGCTGGAGGAGGTCTTTCTGCGGAAGCCGTTGGGTTTTGCTCCGGCGTCTCTCTCTCCTGCACACCTCGCTTCATAAACAGAAGACACCTGGGATTGAAGGAACAGTTTCAACAGATCAAAAGCCAGATTCTTCTCATGGGGGCTACGTGCAACACACTCTTGATACACAGAGATTCAGTAACAAATCGATGGTTTTCTTGGGGGGAGTTACAGATCGTGAAGGGTCTTACTGCTTCTAAGCAAAACAAACAGCGTCTCCTCCTGGACCGAGCGCCCTACCCGTGTATGTTCGGTCCAGGGACACAACACACTGCGTGTCGGGGCCACGACAAACAGTCTAAGTGCCGAGCCCGGGTGGGGACGAGGCCGGCGCAGGGAGCCTGCAACAAGCAAACCAACACACACAACCACACAACCACACGCTGTGGTGCGAACCAGGTGATGGGCAGCGAGGAAGGGGAGACGGGACCCGCGCACACACTCCAGACAGGTGGGCAGGGAAGGCAGTTCTTCTCGAGTGCTCCCGGGAGGGTGGAGAGTGAGCCCCACAGAAGTAAGAGCCAGAGCTTGCCCGAGACCGGGCCTCGGACCTGGAGCCCTACAAACCCCGTTGTGTGGGACTGCCCCCCCACACCAGGTGGTCTGTGCCTCTGTCCCCCAGGATGCTGAATGCAAATGGCAGCCCCTCCCTGGTCACAGGAATGACCAATGCCCCCCCCAACTCAGGGGGAGTGACGGTAGCACCCCACCATCCGCAGCAGCTGGGATGCTCCCCACCCCCCAAGTGACTGACAAGGCCTCCTTCCCGCAGTTACCGGCAGCGTGCCACCCCCACCGGCCACTTAAAGTAACCAGCAGCACCCTCCAAGCCACCGTAATTAGCAGCGTCCCCACCCCCGTAGTAACCAGCCCGCCCCGTCACAGCGACCAGCACCCCCGCCCGAGTCACAGGAGCCGCACCCCCACCCGTCACAGTCACGACAACCCCGTTTCCAACTGGCAGCGCAGTCCCTGGTTGGCCCCCGAGGCGGAAGCAGAAAGACAGCTGCGTGGAAGGAGGGAGAAGGGAGGGCGTGAGGCCGGAGGCACGCAAGGGCAGAGCGCAGCGACAGAAGGCCACCGTGGTTAGGAGTGTGAGTCGCAGAGTCCCAGCAGAGGCCACAGCTCATGGCTACACTTGTGGTCAGACACGCGGGCCTGAGTCGGTGCAGAACGGCACAGTGACAGCACCCGTCAGGTGTCGTGAGGGCCAGCGAGGGGACACCGGGCCTGGACAGGGCGCGGGGGACGGAGGCGGAAGGAGGTACAACAGCTGACGGGTGGGGCGGCCGGGGCCGAACGGTGTGTGAAGGTGACAGAGGCCAGAGAGCGGCTTCCGGGCTGGGGTGCGGCAGGGCGCCACTGGCCAAGGCGGGGAACACTGGCGGGGGAGGCCCACGGGCCCCTGGGTGCTTTGGGGGAAAGTCCTCACGGGGCCTGAGCCGACACGGAGCAGACAGACACGTTTCTTTCAATTCATTAGATGCCTGCCTGCCGGGAGCTCAGAGAGACCCGACGCGGCCCGGTGCCGGGGCGGAGACCCGGGAACGGGAAGGCGGAGGCCGCTGGGAGGGCTCTGTGGTGGCACCCACCCAAGGGCTCACGGCGGAGGGGGGACAGGCTCGGGGAAGGCCAGGAGATAGGCGGACGAGGTGGGAGGTGATGCAGACGTGGGCTGAGCGCCACGGAGGAGGACGGTCACACCCACGCAGCTGGGGGACCCCGGATGGGGGGGGGGCTCCCCGGGCTCCCAGGCTCCAGCCTGAGTGGCAAGGGGGGGTGTGTGGCCGTTAGTAAGTTAGTAAGGCGGACAGTCCACTTACCCTATTAAAATCTAACAGATGCTCTTCGTTACGGGGCATGCCTTTCCCATCTGGACTCTCTTCTATACCATGCTCTCCCTTGGTATTTGTATAACATTCTTATCATTTTGAGTGGAGAAGGGAAAAGAGGGAAGGGGGGGAAATTGCATTAAGACACGGTTATGAAACATGCATTCGTTTCATTTTTTGCTGAAAAGTCAGATCAGTTAGGTCCCCCAGCCCTCTGAGGGGTTGAGGCTGTCACTAACAGCAGGCATGGTCGTCACCGGCCAGCCGGGTGTGCACGAGCAAGCTGCCATGCCCGTTTAAGAATTCTTCTGATAAACTGTTTATCGAGTTATTAAAAAACAGGCTGGTCTGACACACATGCCCGTCATCACACCGAGGGACACTCGTTCACCACAAACATACTCGCCCCTGTAATGTGACAAATGACCAAAGGGACTGCAGACAGGAGGAGCGACCCAGGAGAGTCGCAGCCTTGCTTCCCCGCCCAGGTCCACACCACACTCCAGCATCTGGGCAACGGGCAAGAGAAAGGAGGCGCGCGGTCTGAGCAGGTAAGCGGCCCCCGGAGGGGATGGAACTGGAGGCTACAATTAGAAGGAATCAGAAATCACTGAAGGCAAAGGTTCTCAATCCTGGAGCTTGGAGAAGAGTCTGGCCGGCCCCCCGAAATCCTGACCGAACCACGCTGGGCCAGGGTCAGGCAGCAGGTCTGACGAGCTCCCGGGGGGCTCTGATGCGCGCCGAGGGCCGACACCCCCCCCCCGCCGCCACATCTTCGCCTAGACCGGCCTCCTACGCACCGGCCTGACTCGGACCCTGGCTTTGAATCCCTGTGTCAGAGTCCCTTAACGCTCCCAACCAAGCAACTGCCTCCCGCTGCCTGTGGCCCAGTCACGAGATGCTCAAAGAGCTGGCGTGCGCCCCACGTACGACCAGAGATGACGGGGTCGGCGCTCCAGGGCTGCTGAGCCCACGGGACGGCCCTCACTGAGGCTGCGCAGGCCACACCTCCCTCCCCGTGGCCTCTGGCTCTCTCTGCGGTCTCAGACCTCAAGGTTACCAGCTTGGGCTCTGGGACCAGACGGATGGACATCAGCGGAGCCCCGGTTCTGCCTGCACCTGTGATACAACAGGGCAGGCCACCGTCCCTCTGAGCCCCAGCTCCCTCATCTCTGACACAGGGTCCCCACATGGCCTCACGGAGTCCTGTGCAAGGTACAGCTATGGCCGTGTGCACTCCCAACACGGCGCTGGCGCCCAGAGACAACTATTGCTGCTACGAACCCAGACCCCAGCTTGTTCAGCCGTCCCAGCCAGTCACCTGACCCAGTTTTTGCGGTCCCCACGCCACACCCAGCTCCTTACCACGTGAACCAGGTAAGCGAGTGGATCAGGGAAGGAGATGATTTCCTGGACTAGGAGACGTGCCCGGACAGAGCTGGATCCAGCCCCCCGAGACCCCCCCCCGTGGACCCCTTCCCCTCCCTGTCCTGCTTTAGGGGTTCTGTACGCATGAAAGGAGAGTGTGCTGCCTGGGGCGTTAGGAAAAGGCAGTGCTGACCATGGACGCCGTTCACAGCCTCACGTGGACGGTCCCACGTTGCAGGCTAGGGCCACGCCGCAGGCCCACGCGATGCGCGCCCCTCCTCCAAGTATCGCCTCCAGAGGCATAGTGTTTAGCCTCTGTTTACAAATACAGACGATGGAGACACAGAGGTCTGGTCGCTGCCCCGGGGCCAGCAGCTGGCAACGGAGGCACCGCAGTCCAGCTCCGTTCTGTCTCCCGAAACCATCACCTCTGCAGTGTCCCTGCACGGCTTCCTCTGCAAGACCTAAATAATGCCCACGCTTACAGCGAGCCTTCCACACGTTCCGAATCCAGCAGGGAGAGCTCTAGAGCACCCCACCCGGACGATCTGTCAGGGCACAGAGTATCAGGTCCCCTGCGCCCCGGCTCCCTGCTCCTGGCTGACCCCAGCCCCCCGCACTCCCGCACAGCTCCCCTCTGCCAGGCCCACCGAGGTTTGCCGAAGGCATCCTGCTCCCGCACCAGACGGGGCTTCCGACCGGGCGCCTCTCCCTGCAGGCGGCCCCGCCATCACATGGCTTGTGTCCCTACCCCCTCCGGTTTCTGCTTGGACGTCTGCCCATCAGGAGAGCAAGAAAGAGACCCTTCTGCCCCTGCGTTCCTGGTGCCTGGCGCCTGGCACGAGGTGGGCACATAAGAAGTGCATGTGGCCACACACAGCAAGGCCAGCAGGGTCCGGGGTGCAGGGGGTGGGGCAGGGGGCTTCCAGGCCAGACGGGGCCCCCTGCTGCAGGGTGCCGGGAGAACCCACCTCGCTGAGCCTCCTGGCTCCTACCTTACTGTATAAGGGCATGGCCTCCCCTCCCCACCCACCCGCTTCCCGGGGAGACCAGAAGTTTCCAGGTCCACCCCCTAGTCAGAGCAGCATGCGCTTGGCGTCAATCATCAGCCAAGCTGGGAGCCTCAGGGGCAGAGGGGAGACACGTGGCCCCTTCCGTGAGTGGGCGACAGGCTCGCTGGTTTCCTGGCTAACCCGCCCCTGGGACCGTGTGCCCCCATCCCTACAGGCTGACAGGACCATGGCGTCACCATCAGCACCAGGTGACCGGGCAGGGATCTGACACAGCTGTGAGCAGAAGGTCATCCAAAAGCTTGGTCAACATTGCCTGTCCTCTGAGAGTTTCTCTATTTGTCACCTCACAGCTAAAGAAAGCATCGTGCACTTGCCTTCACGTACATCACCCGCCTGGCACAGGAGCCAAGGACCCACAGGGGAGAGCCAGGACGGACCCCGTACTAACGACAGAGAACTAGACTAAGGCTGTGAAGATGGCCCTTGACACGCTAACAAAGCACGAACTCAGTATCTGAAAATCACCCTACTCTCCCAAAGGGACTGGTCTTCCTTGATCCCCGGCCCTGCCTGCTGCCACATCCCTCTCTCCCTCTGGCACTTTCTGGGAGGCCCTCTCGCTGCCCGACTGTGGGGCACACGGCCTCCTTTACCTATATTCCAGTTAACTCATCTCTGACTTGACACACTCACCCCGTGCAGCAGGACAGACACATGTCAAGGCCAGATTTGCATTCCCATCACCCCGGCGCCCCCCTCGGCACCAAGTACACACAGCTACTATAGAGAACAAAGCTTCTGGACCACAGGAAGACAGCTTGGGTGTAAGCCTGAGCTCGATGGCTAATGCATGATTACGCACAGATCACCAAACCTGAATCTCAGGCTTCCTCATCTGAAAACTTCGGTTGACATCTCACAAGGCTACAGTGGGGCCAACGTATAAGGAAAGACTGAGAGCACCTGGTAAATATTAAAAGGGGACCCAGATATTGGCTAATGGTAAGGCCAACAGACCTTTAATAAATGCGGTTAAGTAAACCAAGAGGCTAAAAATGAAGTCTCTGGGAAGGAGGAAGACCAGCTTTGGGGGAGGCGTTGTGGGCTCGCAGCAAAGAGAGAAGCAAATACCCCGCCTTCCACCCTGGCAGCGAGGCTGGGCTGCGAAGGGAGGCCTAGCCCAGTGCAGGCGTCCTGAGCGCCAGGCTGCACAAGGCACGGTGGCCAGCAAGGGAGGTCACAAAACAACCGGAGATACGACAGACCCACAAATGTGGAAGTACTAACAGACGGCTTACACGCCCCTTCCGGCTCAAACAGGAGGGACTCAGAGGCTGCAGCCCACAGGGGCCGGGCAGCCCAGCCAGGAGCCCGCCGCAGTCTGGAACCCCACCCCCTGGAGCAAGCCCACGGCCTTTTCCGTCCTCGCCACCCCCCAGACTTCACGTCCAGACGTGTTATAGCTTCTGGGTATGCTCAACCGGGAGGCTCACAGACCAAATGTGCTACTGCCCCACGCCCCCCGCCGCCTGTCCCCCTTCAATCCCCCCCACGCTGCTCGCTCGTCACAGAGACTCACTCGCGGCCCCGGCCTCCTCTCCGAAACCTCCCCCCACCGCTCTCCCATCGCCCCCCCCCCCCAGCAGCGCCTGAGGCCAGCCACGGACCCTGTCACTCCCAGGCCCCCCACAGGAGCCTGGAGTCCCGGTCTGTGTCGTCCGCTTTCCAATTCCCTTTCCACTCTGTCAGAAGGGGCGCCTGGGTGACTCACTTGGTTAAGCATCAGACTCGGTTTCAGCCTAGGTCATGATCGCACAGTTTCATGAGTTCAAGCTGCACATCGGGCTCCATGCTGACAGTGCAGAGCCTCCTTGGGATTCTTTCCCTGCCCCTCCTCCACTCTCTCTCAAAATTAATAAATTTTAAAGTATTAAAAAACAAAACACATACCTGATGAGTTACCCTCCAATTTGCAATCTGTTAAACGACCTTCCCTTCCTGCATGTTAAACGTGACCTAATTCAGCAGAGCTCCCTGACCTCCTGATGGGCTCCTTCCCCATCTGCCTCTCTGGCCTCAGCCACACCCAAGCTGGGCGCAACGGGTCCCTGTGCGGCCACCTGCCAGAGATCCTCCTTCCCGGGCTCTGCCCTTCCCGGGCTCCCCAACCTGGACACCTTCCAGAAGATTCTCCCCGTAGCTGATGACCTCCACCCCGCGTCACTGGGATCCTGCCCAGATCTGGGCGAAGGCAGGCCGGTCCTGCTTCATGTCTCCCATTGCCTTTCCCCACATCAGGCCAAGGGCAGGACACAGCTCGCACTCATCTCCGTGTCCCCCGTGCCGGACGAAAGCCTCTTGGTAAGTGGTTTTTGGACTGATATTGATGATATTCATAGCGAGAGAACTGCTCGTAATGAATTAGAGATCTGAACGAAAGAATCAATGAGCAAACACAGGCCTCCTTACCTTCACACTCCGATGCAGGAAAAAGGGGAGAGTACAAAGCTTTTTCCCACCAAGTCTGTTTTTCTTGACTTCTATTCATTCCTTGAACATCAGTGTTCAATACAGGAAACTGTTGAGGTTAAACGAACACAGAAGAAGTTTACAAACTTATATAAACTTACAAAAGAGAAAATTCAAACATTATTAACTATGAATTATAAATCCAGGATTTTTAAGATGACTTTTTTTCTTTTTTTAAAGTAGGCTTCATGCCCGGCACAGAGCACAATGTGGGGCTTGAACTCAAGACCCTGAGATCGAGACCTGAGCTGAGATGGAGAGGTGGATGCATAACCAACTTGAGCCACTCAGGCGCCCCAAACTGATGACTTTTTCTTTTTGTATTTTAATACTATTCCAGACAAAGTGAATTTATTTATTTATTTTAAAGATTCTATTTTTAAGTAATTTCTCCACCCAATGTGGGGCTCGAACCCAGGCACCCCAACTAGGAGAACTTGAAAAGCCAAAGTGTTCACAGCATATAAAAGAAGTTTTTCTTGGGATGCCTGGGTGGCTCAGTCGGTTAAGTGTCCGACTTTAGCTTAGGTCATGATCTCACGGTTCGCATCAAGCTCTATGCTGACAGCTCAGAGCCTGGAGCCTGCTTCAGATTCTGTGTCTCCCTCTCTCTCTGACCCTCCCCTGCTCACGCTCGCTCTCCCCCCACCTCAGAAATAAAAAACATTTTAAAAAATTTAAAAAAAAAAGTTTTTCTTAAAAAGCACTTATAATGGAAACGGAATGAAAACCTTTTTAAAGATACAACCAAACTTTTTTTTTTTTTTTAATGTTTTATTTATTTCTGAGAGAGAGACACAGACAGACAGCATGAGTAGGGGAGGGTCAGAGAGAGAGGGAGACACAGAATCTGAAGCAGGCTCCAGGCTCTGAGCTGTCAGCAAAGAGCCCAACGCAGGGCTCAAACCCACAAACCGTGAGATCATGACCTGAGCCAAAGTCGGATGCTTAACCGACTGAGCCACCTGGGCGCCGCAAAACACAACCAAACTCTTACAAGGCAGAATATTCCCCATAAACATCCCAGATAAGGTAATTTCTCTACTTTGGAAACGCAGAGAAGTAACAGGCGGCCCCCAAGTCCCCACCGGTGTGTGGTGCTCTGGAGAAAAGGGAGGGCCTCTTCTCCTTCACACACTCGGGCAGGAGGGGGTCAGAGACCATGTGGAAGAGAAGGGAGCTGTACAGGCAGCAAATGACCAACAGGCAAGGTCTTTAGAACCCAAGCATCTGCTTAGCTGAGACCAGAGGACGGTGAGACTAAATGCACACAAGGCCTGTGAACGCTGTATGCGTCTTCACTGCTTCAGAGGATGATCCAGTACGAGTTCAAGTTCGAAACTGAGCTAGTTTAGCGGCCAATGGTCATCAGTCCTCTGACAGGATTCTGTTACTAGTTTCATGGGTCGAAAACTTTTTGATTCAATAATGTATTTATTATTATTTAACTAATGGGAAACACCCCAAAGTTTCATTTTTCATGTCACATATCTTTGCGGGAATATTCTCCAAGGAGAAACTGAAGACATGTACTGTCTGTCCGTAGAGGCCAGTCACTGTTCACAAAGCTCCTCCCCACCCCCCACGAGCTTACTCGACACTAGCGGGTCGGCACCTCCACTAAGCAGAACTCACAGGTGTGGCCTCATGCAAATGAAGCCAGCGGTAGCCAAGGTCCACAGCGTTCAATGTAATTACCTGCGCCCAGCACATAATTCACAGAACCCTGAGAGCTTTCTGGAAGGGCCCTGCCTTCACTCTAAGGCGCACCCACCCTCTGCCGGATGACAGCTTAGTGTTACTCGGGAGCAGCAAGAGGGCCCCTGGACAGAACAGTCGCCCACGTCCCCAAGGCACCACTGAAGGCACATGGATCCGGAGGCAACAAGGTCCTACCTGCGTCCCGGGCAGCTGTGGAGGGATGAGCTTTTCCTCCTGCGAGGGCAGTTACACGGCTCCGGCTCCGTGTAGCCCCCGGCTGGGGACCTCGGGGGCGGGGCCAGGTTAAGAAAAGGGAAGAGAACTCACCCCGGAGGGTGGGGGCCGGCCGGGGCGCACAGGAGGCTGGAGCAGGACAGGCAGGGAGCCGCTCGAGGGCAGGGTCCACGTCCCATGGGCCTGTGCACCCCCGGGGACAGGGCACACACAAAGCGGATACTCAATGTCCGTGGCCTGAAGAAAAGGCTCCACCTGCATGCAGGTCCCGGATTCTCTGGTGTGCTATCCTCTGCCTCCCCCGCCCCCCAGCCCCCCCCAGCCCCCCGCCCCCGGGCTGAAACCACTGTTAAAGCCACGCCAGTTTCTGCTATGGTTTTAGGATGTTTTGTGCGTCCTCCCCTTGAATGTCAACTCCAAAGGCAGAGACTTCTCTGTGCTGTTCGATGCTACAGTGAATACACATTCGATGAAGCTGCATTATCTTACGGCCTCTTTCCACTCCGCTATCTCCAACCTCTGGGTTGCCCAGCAAAGATGACCACGCTTTACATAAATAACGTCCACTGTATGCGCGGATTCAACTTCTGGTTGGCGGGGGATGGAGGAAGGGAAACTAGGCGAGAACACAGCAGGGCGGGCCAGGTGCCTCTGTCGCAGCTCCGCTCTGCCTCTCCTGCAAGCCTGTCTTCAAATCGCACCTTTGCTGAGAGCCGGCCTGAGCCCCTACTTCTTGGCAAGTCCTCCAGGCACCCGGTGTGCCCTCTCTCTGGCGCTGGCACACCAGCGAACGCTATAATCAGCTTATAGAGCAGGTTCCCAAGAAACATTCGAAAGCCCGACCAGAAAGGTTTCTGGTCCCAGATGGGACACTCAAGTTCTCTAGGAGCCGGGGGCTGGGTAGTGGCCCTGCCCAGAACTCCCACTGAGCTCCCAGGTCCTGCAGGACCAAGGTGACCGGTGTCCCTCCTCCGGGAAGAGCACTGGAACGTGCCCCTCGGCCACAGTCAGCCCTCAGTTACCAGGTCTGGAGGGAAAGGAAAAAACACAAACGTAGGGGCGCAGAGTGTGTGGAAGACGAGTCCTTCCTTACTGACAGCGAGCGCCCCGCGGGGGACACTCGGGGCTCTGTCCTGGACGCGGGGGTTGGTGGCACAGGTGGGCCGGGCGCCACGCCCCCCACGCGTCGGAGCCTCTGCCCGCCAGGCCTCCTCTCCTGGCCAGACCATGAACTCCCGAAGACGGCCCAACCCTCTGTGCTTTGTGCGGCAAAGCGCAGGCAGCAAGTCAGCGACCAAGTGAACGACAAGGACATCATCGCCTCCACCTCAGGCACAAACACGGACGCCGGAGGCACGCCCGGCGCTCCCCACTTGTACTCTGTGCCTCAGGAGCCGCGAGCTAACTGCTGGCCGGCGCCCTACATGCGTGAGAAGCTCCGGGCCCTTTCACCTCTGCTCAGGCTGTTCCTTCTGCCCTGGGACCCTCACTGCCAGGAGGGCTCTGCTCTGGGCTCCCCCGCCTCCTGGGCTCACCTCTGCCGCGCCATCTACCGTGTGAGCTACGATCACATCTGCCCAAATGCCCTAAGCGACAAGGAAGTGGCTACGGAAATCACAGTGCAGCCGCCCACACCGTGGAAGAGTGTGCAGGGAACCGAAAAGGAAAAGGGATTGTAACAACCTGCCATTTCTGTGAAAAGACAGAAGAGAAGAAGGAACACACGTGCGGGAGGATTTGCTCCCACAGGCATGAAGTATCCCGGAAGGCCGTGCCGCAGCGCACACTCGGCTGCTGGGAGGGCCCTGCTCCCTGTGTGGACAGGCCCTCCGGTGCCTTCTGGGTTGGGACCCTACGACTAAAGTACCGATTTCAATTAAAATAAATACTCTGCTTACACACTGGTCTTTGTGCCGAGACTGAACTCTTCAAGGGCAAGAGACAGGCACCTAACAGGTATTCAAAACATGTCTGCTGAAGTTGGCTGAACTAAACAACTTTTGAAAAGAATCCACGTTCCTGGGCACCAATGTTATTAGAATTCCTACATTTTAAGTTTTTTTTTTTTTTTTTAAATTATGTTATCTTCAAGTAAACTCCACACCCAACGTGGGGCTTGAACTCACGACCCTGAGATCAAGAGTCGGTGCTCTGCCACTGAGCCAGCCAGGAGCCCCTAGAATTCCTACATTTTAGTCCACTTGCTCTGAAACAGGTGGACTTTAAATCGTGACCTTTATAGCGGGGCTCGCAGACTGCCCCCTCCCAGGAAGGCCATGCACGGGGACTCCCCGGGACTGACCGGCCGTGTGGGGGTGGAAACGTGGACACTCCGGTCCCAGCCTGGCCCTGCTGTCCTGTCACACCATCTCCCAACCTCTCCAGACCTCAGAACGCTCTCTGATGTGGGCTCTGACACCACTCTACACGCAGCACCTCGGCCCAGAGGCTGGGGCCGAGAGCAGCAGTTACAGGGAGACTCGTGGTCGACCCCGCGAGGCCCTCTGAGGACTGTACTAGAAGCTTTCCAAGACAACCCAGAATTCTGAGAACATATAAATCTATCAACATACTAGAAAGCGAAGGATTATGGCAGTGGTATGATGCAGAATCTCGCTTCTCCTCTCTTTTTCTTTCTTCCCAATCTGGAACCAGGTGAAATACAAAGTACATAAAGGAATGTTCAAGGATAAAAAGCGGAGCAATCAACAAACAGATAAAGGGTAACAACGTTACTGGTTTTCACTCCTGGCAGCTCGGATTTCAAGGTTTCTGTGGGGTTCGGTTTACGCGTCTCTGGGGGTCTCCAGGTGGGCTAATCAGAGCAGTGAGTCTCTGGGGAGCCTCCTGTCACCACACGCACTCAGGTGCCACTCAGGCACTGACCCCGCAAGTGAGAAGGGGCGAGTCTGTATCCATAAGGAGTTTATAACCTAACGAGGAAAAAGTACACAACTGACTCATGAAAAATGGGAAATGCGGGGCGCCTGGATGGCTCAGTCAGCTGAGCGTCCGACTTCGGCTCCGGTCTCGATCTCGCGGCTCTCTGAGTTCAAGCCTGGAGTCGGGCTCCAAGCTGACAGCTCAGAGCCCGGAGCCTGCTTCAGGTTCTGTCTCCCACTCTCTCTGCCCCTTCCCTGGCTCTCACTGTCTCTCTCTCGCTCTCAAAAATAAGCATTTAATAAACGGAAAACGCAAGAGAAAAAGAGGCACAAGGTGCGTGAAGGAGAAGGGAGAAGTTATTTCTGATGCGGGAGGAGAAGGAGAGAGGGAGAATTAGGGAGCGGTCGAAAGGCGGTGGGACCTGGGAGCCTTGAGGTACAGGGGGTATGGGCAGGATGTGGATACGAGAGAGGTGGGTGGAGGGGCACAGGGACAGATGGCAGGGAGGACCCAGGGGCTCTCTGGCCGCTGGTGGCAGGACAAGCAGACACCTCCAACTCTCTCTTTAACAAGCTGCTCCTGGAGAAAGGCCGGGCGCTGCCCATCAAGTAACGGCTGAGAAACAGGCAGATCACTGTGCTTCTTGGTGGAACAGGTTACCTCAAGGGTTGTTTCTTGCGCACTCCACCTAACCTCAAGCCACTTCTCACGAATACTCAAAGGGTACAGTGACTCCCATTCACAAAACTACCACCACTAATGAACCTCGTCTGGCAGACTGAACCCATCATCCTCACAGCTCGAGGAATGTGGACGTGGCAGGGAGTGAGGAGCCTCGGCTTAGTTCCGCGGAAGCCCTGCTGGCGCACGTGGACTGTGGCCTGGCCTTCACACGTACCACAATCCACGTGCCAGCGCTCGAAACGGACGCAATTTGTCCTTCGTGTGAAGCCTACGGTCTCCGATGGATGTGCGTCTCGGAGGCCCTCGGGTGGGCTCGGTATGTAAGGAAACCCTCGGCTCCGGCTTCCGGCTTCCGAGGAGAGCAAAGGGCTTCGGCATAGTTCACGGCCACTTCCTCATTTGTCACCTCCCGGGTCCGGCCGGTCCGGTTTTGCCCGGAGCACAGGCCGTGGAGCCCAAGGCAGCCCCCGAGCGCCTCCTAGCCTGTGATTTAAACGCGTCTGTTCACGCCTCTGCAGAAGCCGTCTACGGCCGAGCCCAAATTCCTAAAGATCAAACCCATCTGAAGTCCTTCGGTAAAGTCAGGAGAACGTTATGTTTTAAGATGTTTAAGCTCATCTCCCAACAAACTCACCCTCTCTCTCACGGCCTGACACGGCTGCTCTCACATTCAAGTCCTAGCCACAACCTTCCTCAAGCCCCAACAGGCGCGGACACCTACCTCCTCCAGCTGTCCCGAAGACACAGGGTTATCTTCATAGGCAGGGAACTGGCAGCCTGCTTTGCAACTGCAAAAATTACTAACTTCCTCCTCGCACTGTGCCGTTATCTTACAGTTCGCTGCCGGGCTCTCCAAAGCGTTGTGCGGAGACTCGCCCCTGCCGCACTCCAAACACGGACTCCGCTTGCCCACCGGCAGAATCCCGGCTGCCTCCTCCTGAGAATCCAGGGAGGTCTGAGCGCTCTTTTCCATGCCGGACTTTTTTAGCCTGGGAAGGAACTTTCCAGACTCGAGCTCCGATTTTCCGTAGTAATGGCCTTCTTTCTCCGCATCTTCTTCCAGCGGCTGGAGATCTGCCTGTGGGTCTTCAAACGCATCAGCTTGGGAAGCGACGGGAACACTGGCTTCATCTTTCTCAGATTCAAACTCTGACTCGCTCCCTCCCCCCGGGGACAGCTCCGATGCAGAAATGGGGCGGAAGTGAGTCCTCGGAGAGATCCGAATGGCCCTGTACTGTGTTCTGTCGACGCCGCATATTCTGGGGTGAAAAACTTCGCTGTCAGAATCAGAGCAGAGGATGGATTTGGGTTTAAAACTAGGGCTGAAAGAGGCAATCCCTTCGGGTTCGAACGAACACTCTACGTGCAGAACCTGTGAGAACGGATTGCTCAAGTCAAAGGAAGAGAAGGAATATTCGAGCCCAGGATCCTCCACCTGAAAGTTGCCACAAGCTCCTAGTAAGTCTTCATGGAAGATAAACGAGAATCCCTTATTTAACCCATTTTCCCCACTCCTCGGCGGATCGTTCTGGTCGAACGACACAAAGGGTTTCCACAGCTGCCTGTGACCAGGAGCAAAACTGTTCCCCGGGGTCATGAAGACATCCGTCCCCGCGATGGTCACCACGTCAGAGGCCGCACACTGGAGCAGACTTCCTTTGGCGTGGCCGGGCGGGACGACCGCCCACTCCCCGTCGCTGCTGAAGGTCTTGAGCTCGCCGTAGACCCCTCCGAGAATGAAAGTGTTCTTCTCCTGGGCCACGTCCCAGGGCTTCGAGGGGGTGGTGTAGTCGCCGCCATCCACCTTCGACAGCTCCCCGGAGACGAAAGCTCTCTTCTCGGGGCTCTCTTTCTGGCCCTCCCACAGCCGGTACTCTGACCTCTGCACGGCCTTGTGAGGCTCCTGGAGGGCCTCGGCCTCGGCCTCGGCGTCCAGGCAGCAGCAGTAGTTGTTGACATCCGTTGGAAACAGCTCCTCGTCCAGCCGCTCCACGTCCGCCGCGGCTCCAGAACCCCCGTCGCCCATCTTCGTCCAGATGTCCTTGATAATCCCGGAGCCGTACCCGCCACCGCCGCGGGGGCCGCGCTCGCCACACCCTCGTGCCGTGTCCAGGGGTCTGGGTTCCGCCTTCTGCTCTAGCTGAATACCACAGACAGATTCTAGTTTAGATTTTGTTTTGAAAACTAAGGTAGGAAGTTCTCCTAACGTTCTACCGTTTTGCTGGCCGGTTTCGTCTTGCAAAAAATCTAAAAGTTCTTCCTCTACGTAATTTGATGAGACCCTAGGAACTACGTAATTCATATCTTCTGCATTAAACTGCGTGGCCTCTTCCAACGGAATATTCAACGTCTCGTTGTCTGAACGTGTTTCTTCCGAATGGGACCATGGGCTACAAGTTCTCGTTGAGAGATTGGAACAGTGTTCGTTTTCTTCAAAGGCACTATTTTTGGTCCATATTAGCAATCTAGACTGTGTTTTCCCAAGCAGATTAGCACTAGAATCCGTGTCGTCATTTCCCAAGTTGAGTGTTTCAAAAGAAAACGGTAAAACAGAGTTACTGCATTGCACTTCAAACACTGAAAAACAAGAGTTTATACCAGATCCTTCATTAATATCCGAAAAGAGCTCCTGATTGCCAGCAAGCAAGTGGGGATTGAGCGCCGTGCCGTCCAGGATCGGGGAGAGCCTGACCGGAGACTCACCCCCGAAGCTCTCCCCGTCGGCGTCGCCGGAGCTGCACGAGCAGCACTCCCAGAACTGGGCCAGGTTGCCGAGCTCTTGCAGGAGCGGGCCCTCAGCGCCCACGGAGCTGGTACAATCTGTCCATATTGCACGTTCCCCTTCCAACTCCATCCCGTCTAACACTATGCAACATTCGGCCTCAAAATCGGTTTTCTCTTTGCTTTTCTGTCGAATCATATTCAAAATCCGACTTTCTCCTTGCATGGTTTCTGAGGCACCAGGATCCAACATGGATTGATCAATGTCCACTTCATAGAAGTGTGTTAATTCGGACAGATGAATACCATCCAGATACCCGCTGTCCTCTGGGAGAGGACAGAATGAGGTCCCAGGGAGGTCCACCTCCTCGTCGATGACCGCAGGCATTTCCACGAAGTGACCGTCAATGAAAGTACCTGCCGCGAGGTATGCTTTATGCACGTTGCCATTGCTGAGGCAGAGGCCGCGCACGGACTCGGACAGCTCGTCCACCGCCGCGGCCGGCAGCTCGCTCGCCTCGGGCCTGCGTCGGTACGTGGTCTCCAGCTTACTCCTCCTGCTCAGGGGGACGAAATACTCGGCAATCGGCTCGGTGTACCACAGCGGCTCCTCCTTGTACTCCCTGTCGTTTCTGCTCTCCAGGGACACGTCTCTTCCCTCGGCGCCCGCGGGGTCCCGCCTCCCCGGGTCCTTCAGGGGCCTCTTCCCGCGCCGGCACAGCGGCTTGACGGGGCCCCCGCCTCCCCCGCCACCGCTGCTGCTGCTGCCGCCGCCGCCGGCGGCATGGATGACCCGCTCGGCCTTGTCGCCGGCCTTCAGCGAGAGCCTGCCCGGCCCGTTCCGCCCTTTCTTGTTTCGAACTTCTCGCGTCTTGTGTCGAACTTTCACGCACTTCACGGAGGCCTTGAATTCTCCCTGAGGACCGCTGGAACTTGAGCCCGCCTCGCTCGAGCCGGAAGACCACGAGCGAGGGCGAATCCTTCCCTCGGGTTTGTGTCGGACCTGCTTTTTGTACGAGGCGGGCTTCTCCTCCGCAGCGCCCCGGGCGAGCTGGCCCTCCTCCTCGCTCCTGCCCGCGCCCTGGGCTCTGTCGTGCACGGCGGCCGTCACGTCGCCGCTCCTCTCCTTGACGGCTTCGCCTTCGCTGTTGCAGTCTTTGGGGGAGGACGTGTCTGTGCTGGCCGGCGGCGCTGTGGACGACGAAGAGGAGCTGGAGTAAGAACAGACTTTGGACTTGTTCCACACGGTCATGATCTCCTGCAGGCAGACTGGCTTCTCGGACAGCGGGGGAAAGGCTTCGTAGTACCTGGAACACAGAGGAAAGACTTCAAGGCCGGCCCTCAGACATACATGATACAGCAGAACGACACTGTCCCGCAGGGAGGGGAGAGGGGGGAGGGGGAGGGGGAGCGGGCGGGGGCGCTCATTTTAACAGTCAACACTGACGTCACCCACGAACCATGAACTTTAAAAAAATGAGTAACGCAGTGAAATGTGCTTTACATGGAGTCCCATATCTCGAGCACCTTTATGCTCGGCACAGAGAGGAGCACTCTAAGAATATTTAGAAACTAGGGAAGATGACGGTTTTTATCTTCAAAGTTTTAATTGAGAAGTCAACAAAGGACAAGTACAGTGCAGTGGAAAGAATGTCGGCTCTTGATAAGAAATATCTGCATTTGCATCTCAGCTCACGTCACTCACTATGCTTGTGCCCTGAAGCTCATCATCTGATGTCCCAGCCACGTTCTCAGCTGTAAAAAGGTGACCGCAGGACTTCCCTCACGAGGCCGCTGGGAGCACGGGGAGGAGGGGGAACCCCCTGGCCTGACTAGCTGTGTGACCTCGGGCATGTGACAGACCCTCTCCATGGCCCAGGACACGCAGGCAACACCGTGACCTACCTCCCAGAGCTGTGAGGAGGGAGGGGACTGATGTACAAGAGGAGCTGGACTGTTACGTGACTGCTGTCACCATTGTTCTTCCCTCAGGAGACAGGCCGGGCAGTGAGTCAGATACGGCACGGAGCAGGGAGGGCGCTCGAGTGTTTGGGAAAGAGGTTGCTGGCGCAGCCTAGAGCCACTGGGAAAAGTGGACACAGCAGAGCCCTGATGTTCCAGAAACGTCACTGTCTGGGGAGCCCTACGTGTGAGGCACGGGAGCCTGTGTGCACATGCTGGAAATGCAGGGGGAGGGTCACGGAGCCGGCTTCTAGAGGGCCCGACGACTAGAAGACGACTCTCCACTCTGCTAAGAAGCTGGGAGCCAGGGCGACTGCAGAGCGAGACAGATCGCCAACGCCAGCAAGTAGAGTCGGGCGGCCTGGGGGGCACTGTATCCTGGGGGGCAAGAGTGAAGGTCACACACGGGTGAGAAAAGGCCATGTTTTCAAAGGGCCTATACTTGATTCTCCTTTCCGGCCTCTACCGGAGCTACCTCATGGAAATGCATTGTGAGCCTCACGCATAATTTTTAACAGCCCGGGAGTCACATTAAAAGTGCAAGAAAACACAGGTGAAACGGAATCCAGTAATATAGGTTCCTGAACCAAATATACCCGTAATGTTTCCTTGTAACATATAATGGGTATTTTAAAATATTAATGAAATCTTTTACATTCTTTTTGATACCAAGTCTTTGACATCTGAGAATTCTGTATTTACAGCAGATCTCAACTTGAAGTGGCCACATTTCAAGTGCTAAACGGCCACACGTGGCTCACGGGGGACACACCAACCAGTAAAAGCGATTTTCACCTGAAGTTCTACAAGTTCAGAAGATTCAAATAAATTGTATAATAAGCAAGTTCTGCTTTTGAAGCAGCCGATTCAAACAACCACCTACAAACAAAGGACTTGGGGCACCTTCCGGAAACAAGGTGGACAAGTCAATGACCGGCCCCCGTTTCTCTGGAGGCAGCAGCGGAACCCCGGCTTCCCTGCGTGCAGAGCAAGGGCGCGCCCGCGTTCCCATGGCCGTCTCCGGGGACTGGCGTGACGGCACACGGGCGGACGGTCAGTGACAGCCGTGTTCCACTCGCTCGCTCGGTGCACAAGTCCTGATTCAACACGTATGACAAGGACAGGACTGTCTCGTTCACCTCTGAATTCTCCGTGTCACGCACACAGTAAAGTGCTCAACACGTGTTTCCTGAATTACAAAACGGGAGACTGAATACAGAGCAACGAATCAGAACTGTAAAGCACACAGCAGTTGTTAGTCTGAGTTTCAACAAGGCACATTTCATGACTGAATACAATCTTACATACATTTCCACTTGATCCTTTGCTGTAGGGGATAATTCTGCCTCGGGAGAGGGAGACCCCTCTAACTTTTTGTGAATCTTCTCTTCTGTTATGAAACAAAAATTCAGAAAGATTTGTCGTATATCTAGTTAATAAATGCTCCTTTTTTTTTCTTTAAGTTTCTCAAATAACTTTAATCAGAACTTATATAGGCTTGAAAAGAACTCTATACCCGTTTGTCTTTCTAATAAAGATCTACTTCTTCACAGCACCAGAGGGAACTCTCTAGCTCAGCCAGGCTGGCGGCGGGCTGAGGGGAGAGCTGTCCACCTCGTCACTGACTGAGGGCTCTCGAGGCATCTGACTGACACACTGAGGCCCCTGTTAATTCCAGCAGCAGGAGGGGGAACTTCTATTTCGAGCCCAACAGTACTTTCTCACTAAATCCCCCACGCGCGGACTTTGTACTGACTCCTCTCAACGGATACGAATCTGCTAAGAAAACCCATTACAATCAGCTCTCTGTCCCAACATCCGGCGTGAGCACGGGCTGGGTTTCGAGTAAAATCGAAGCAAAGGGCTACAGTCTCAGCTTAGCTCATGGTACCTACTGCCTTAGGTTAAAAACAAATCAACTGTGCCCCTCAGAGGAAGGCTCAAGGGTCACCGGGCATCAGAACGGCCAGGAAGAGGACACAGAAAACCATGACCCTCAACCTTAATATGCAGCTTTCACTCCAAGGGCCTGCTGGAAAGTTGGCCCAAGAAGCTGTGGGGATTCACGAAGCAAAACAACTTTAATGAGCTTCAAAGACTGCCTTTCTGGAACAATCCAAGAGTCAAGGCAGAACTTCCTTTCAAATCTGAAATAATCACTGTCAACACCTTGGGAGGCCTTGATGTCAACGGCAGATAATTGCGGGGACAAGGATGGCAAAGAGGAAACGTCGCTCCCCATCCCTGGGTTTTGATGTGAAGATGAGCCTGTACGTCCCCCCACTGTGAGGGCGCCTGTGGACTAAGTGACGCATCTCAGAGCAGGGGCCTGTCTATAAGGGCCGCTAAGGGTGACCCAGAGCCACTAAGAGCCAAAGACGCGCATGCTGCCGCCACGGAGACGCACTGAACACACTTTCTTGCCCTTGTCTGTCTCTGGCCAACCCCAAATGCTCTCGATCCACCCCCTGGGTGCCCGCGGCACCGCTGTGCGAACGGCCTAATGTGTGTGCAGGGCACCCCGGAGGCTGTGCGCTCACCTTGCTTGCTCTGAAGGTCCTTCAGCCTGGAGCAAAGCTCCTCCACCAAAGTCTCGATACCAGAGCTCTGCGTGGGAACAAACACACACGTTAGTCTCCTGCACGTACCAAGAATCCGGTACTTGTACACCTTTGTTTTAACATAAGGGTCTTCCAACTCCTTCATGTACCAAAGGAACTACGTCACCAATACTGAAATGACACAAGAGTCGAAAAACAACAGGTTTGCCGATCCAATCTAATGTACCTATTTTACTAATCAAGTACATGCAGCGGCCCCTACTGGGAAGATGTGAAACTATGAATGTGCCTCCCAGAGTGGCCGGCCTTTGTGGGGGTTCGGCCTTGAGCCCTCATCATGCGGCTAATGGTCACCAGGGAAAACAATATCCGATATCTGCGTGAGGAGGTTCTATACCAGACTCAGTATCAAGGGGAAAGAAAATCACAAACATCGTATGCAGCTCTTCCAGGAGCTCCTGGTCTAGAGAAAACAAGGCAATTTTGTTCTTTTCTGAAGCGAACACAGATGATCGCAGCAAAGAGCAGGGCAGAGAGCACGCCGCGGCCCTGAGCGAGGGTGAGGGCTCTGTCTTCTCTTAAAGGTCACGAGCAGGGCACAGGAGAGCCTGAGATCGGGAGGGAGACGACAATAGCCGAAGTGCACAGAACGACAGGTGCTGGAAACAGGCACAAACGAGTACTCGTTTGCCACGGAGGCTTTGAAACTTTAAGCAGGAAGAAAGGAAAGTCCTTTCTGGGGTCTGAAGAGAGAAAACGTAGTCCCGGGGACCTTCACTCTGCGGTCGAAGGTCCTGTTTAAACCGGAACGGACTGTCTCCTCGGTGGGTGCCGCCCGGACAGGTGCATGGCCTCCGCTCCCCCCACCGCCCTCATGGGGCCTGGAGGGGCTAAAAATAGAACCGCTCCCCATTCACCGAACTCAAAATGACTCAGCACAAGTATCACAGAAATCCTCAACAAGAAACCGCGCGGCTCCCGCCTGAACGGCAAGGAGCAGAGCGCAGTGAAAACGGTTACCAGGAGACGCTGCCAGGCCCACCCTATCCCCGACATACCACAGCTGTTAGCAGGGGGACGGACAGAAGGCGACCGGGAGAGGGCCGCGGAAGAGCTGCCCTTCCCTTAGAAACACCCCGAAACCCATGGCAGATGTTAGTCATAAACACGGCTCTGAGCACACAGCTCCATCGGCAAGACGCTGCTTACCATCACGGTCAAGGTGTGAGGACCAGGGCTGTTTTACTGCATTTCCTCCAGACCACGAACCTAACACTGCTGTCAGCTGACTCGCTGCCTGCATGCCGTTCTCTCCAGTGAGCCGATGTCACCGTGTTTCTAAACCGAGCGCCAGCCTCCAGGGCCGAGGGCCGAGCCTCTCGGGATCGCTCCGCGACTTCGCTCGGGTCCGTACGACGGCCAGCCATTTAATATTCGTTCTACACACAACCACTGTCATAACTAGTGACCAGACGGTATTTTTGTTTTCTGCTTTGTCTTGGAAATTACCTCCACACATCTGTGAAGGTCAGTTGCTCTGGACAGGCAGGCAGCTGAGAAGTACATGCATTTGCTCTTACATCCACATGGCAATGCAACAGTGAGCTCACTCCTGAACACGGAAGAAAGCAGGCTCCACCCCCCTGCTCTGTCTTCTCTCCCTGAACCCCGCAGAATCCTACTTAGATTAAAAGTAATCATCAGGGGCGCCCAGGGGGCTCAGTTGGTTCAGCCTCCAACTTCAGCTCAGGTCATAATCTCCCAGTCTGTGGGTTCGAGCCCTGTGTCAGGCTCTGCGCTGGAGCCTGCTTTGGATTCTGTATCCCCCTCTCTGCCCCTCCCCTGCTTGTGCTCCGTCTTTCAAAGATAAATAAATGTTTAAAAAAAAAAAAGGTAATCATCAGATCGCTGGGCTGGGACTGTGAGGAACGGAAGGGGCCCGAAAAGCAGCAGCGCCCCCTGTCGTCTGGCGGCAGCTGCTGGTCAGTGTTGGTGTGGCGCTGAGCAGAAATTCTGTGTGCTCTCCCCAGCACGGCAGGGGCTGTTAGAGGGCTCACTAGCATGCCATTCCCGCGAGGGCACTCAGGGCTACCTGAGACCTTGGTGTCTGAAGAAACAGAGTAAATCAGACTATGTTAGGGACGGCTGTGATGAAGAACGTGCTGCAGGTGCAAAAACTGCTACCACTCCCACCAAACTCCTAACCGCACCGCTTATAGGCACGGCCCAGGGGCCCATGAGCAGGTGAAAAGCCCCCGCCCTCCGCAGGGTAAGAGCACGCTCAAATTCAAGTGGCAGCCCTCCGAATCTGGAGACTGGTGAAGCACAGGACCACGCACCCTGCTTCACCAGTGGCTCAACCACCAGTCGTGAGCATGGTCATGAGCACGGTCATGAGCACACCTGGCCCAGGCGAGACCGACAGAGAGCCAGGGCCCTGTCCTGCCGGGGTTTACACTGCAGTAACCCCTACTTCCCAGAGGGAATGGGCTCCCGCGTCCGTCTGAAGTCACACCCTGCCACACACTCACCGGGCAGCAGGACATGTGTGCTGCCTCACCCATGACCCTGAGACCACACTTTCCCCCTCAAGTTTCTCGAGGCTCAACCAGGATGATGTACATCCAAGGCCCCATCAGAATGCCTGTCACACCAGTCCCCTAAACGCCGGTTCCATTTCTAGATTCTGTCTATGTTTTCCATTTTCCAGAACCTTACTGTTGGATTCCCGGTTTCTAAAATGCCTTTAAATTTTGCTCTGGGGGCACCTGGGTAGCTCAGCCGGCTAACTGTCCGATTGTGGCTCAGGTCACGATCTCACGATTTGTGGGTTTGAACCCCCTGTCAGGCTCTGTGCGGACAGCTTAGAGCCTGGAGCCTGCTTTTAATTCTGTGTCCCTCTCTCTCTCCATCCCTCCCATGCTTGTCCTGTCTCAAAAATAAACATTAAAAAAAAAAAAAAAAAAAACTTTGCTCTGATTTGAGTTTGAGGTTGGACAAGTAAGAAAGACCACTAACCTGACCCAGACAACCCCAAGTCCTCTGCATTCTGCCTGACAGGGCCCCCTTCCCCGCCCCCCACCTGCACGGCCACACCCTCTCACCAAGGCTGGGGGCGGAGCTAAAGACCCGTGCTTTTGCCAGGGACCCAGGCTCAGTCAGACACTGCAGCTACTGTCCCACTGCTTCCAGCAAATTCTTTTGTTCGTTCCCATCTTCAGGATGTCTCCGCCCTCTGCCCACCATCCATCCTCCCCATCACCAGCATAAAGGAAACAGGCCATCACATGCACCCCCCCCCCCCCCCCCCCCCCCCCCCCCCCCCCCCCCGGCCCCGCCGTTATCTCTCCTCTCCACCTTGCAAGGTTTCTGCCGCCATACTAACCAACTCAAAGGTTTGCCTTTTATGGAGAGATCGTTTGAACTAGAAATTTCCTAACTGCCGGACGGACACTCCCACCCCAGGCCTGCGGTCACTAACCAATACGACACTCAGGGACCCCAAGCTGCCTGGTCCGCTCACAGACAGGGACACGGGAGTCAAAAAAGACCTGGGACTGAACACCATCCCAGGGCTCTCCCCGTGACCCTACCTAAATCATTCACCCACCACAGCCCCGCTTTCCACACCCAGAAAATGGTGCCACTACCCCGTCCACGGGGGGCTCTTCTGCCTCCTGGGGGATTTCCTCCACCCCACCTTCCAACCCTCCTGCTGAACTTTTTCGTTTCTACTATCATGTTTAGAATTTGAGGAGATCATCTCATCCCCTGAATGTGTCTTCTTCATCTTCAAGGCTGAGGCGGCTGGACGCCACTCCAGCCAATTTGCCGGCTTCCATTCACTCCCGCATTTCCATTAAGGCATCGCACACCCTCTCTCCTGGGGGCCTGGTGTCCTGCCTGCTTCCAACTTTCCAGAAAGCACACCCCAGGACAGAGGAAGTCTAGCACTCTGTGCCCCCAGAACCATGTCGGCCGCCCCGCCCACTGTGGGGCGCCAGCCAGTGCGCCCCTGCCCCCTAGGAATGCCAAGTCCTGGGCCCTGCACATACGGACCTATGCTACCCATGAGAGGGTCACGGCCAGGTTCTCCTCTGAGGCCAGACAAGCGAGGAGGGCAACCCTGGGTCCTCCCGGCCCAGCGCCATCAGACAGCAGCAGCGAGAGCCCACCCGGGACCAGCCACAGAAGAACCTCCCAGCTGAGCCCTTGCACGCCCACATGACCCAGGAGTGAGCCTAACGGCTAGTGTAAGTCACTCAGTTGTGGGGTATTGTCTTGCGGGAACAGCCAAGGTACAGACTTCCGGACACTCCTCTGGCGCAGACCTACCCTGCACGTGGATGCAGCTCTCTTACAATTCTTCAGATTCCCGGTTTCAATTTCTAAAGCAGAGTTGGAAGATTAGTGGGAGGAAACCCAACTGGACACGGAGGCAGGATTACTGGTGACGATCCACTGTGAAGGGTTGCTTTCATCTTAAAAACCTTTTTAAAGTTCAGAACTAAGTTAATGTTAAGCCAATACACAGAAGAGCACCAAGCGAGACACGGAGTGTGTCCACCTGGGTTCACGACCTTATGCCTCTGGCAGCCAGGGAAGGAAGAGGAATACGGGACGTGGTCAGGCGTAACGCAACAGGAAGTGGTGGGTGAGGCGCGGGCTGTACAGAACGGACATCCCTGGCCTGCAGCCACTCACAGATTGATTAAATAAATAAATAGGGGCACCTGGGGGGCTCAGTCGGTTAAGCCTCTGATTCGGCTCAGGTCATAATCTCACAGTTCGTGGGTTCGAGCCCCGCGTCGGGCTCTGTGCTGACAGCTCAGAGCCTGGAGCTGCTTCGGATTGTGTGTCTCCCTTTCTCTCTGCCCCTCCCCTGCTTGTAATCTGTCTCTGTCTCTCAAAAGTAAATAAATATTATAAATAGATAGACAGACAGACATATGAATAAAACCCCAAACCAACAACAAGCTGTATCTGCCACGGCACGTGCATGAGGGCTGACTCCCAGCCTCGACCCCAGGAAGATCTACACAAACC